TGGGCATGCACGGGATAATGCAGGGCTTGGCCCCGTTTGTTCCCATCATCAGTAGCATGTCCGCATATGGTACGGGCATGGTGTTGGTTTGCCTTAGGAGTTCCAACCCTACTATCAACTCGAGTCATCTATGATCACCATTCACATGTTGAATTTTCCTTCGTAAGGCCCAAGCTTCACTGGTACCTCTTTGGCTATTCCACCCACTATCTGAGGAGGTGAGTTGATAGCCTTGACACGACCTCTACCCTTTCCTACAACTAGACCGAGGCGCTCTACCTGAGTCAAGGCTAAGTAGTTATGGGTAGCACCCGTGTCTATCATCGCCCGAATGGGCTTGCCATTCACCTTTATCTCGATGAACATCAAGGTCCTCTCTTGTTTAAGAGGAGTCCCCTCATCCGCCTTCTTTTCCCCTTTCTTGGTGATTGTACGTGGGTCCTTCTTCTTATGGATACCAACACTGGTCTCCGCTAATGCCTCAGAAATAGAGCCAACACTTGCATTGAAGGCACCTACTGGTTTGGTCTGGTCCGCATCTTCTGAGTCGTCATCGATCCCATCATCAAAAGCTTGATGGGCGTTCATCTGTACATGTGGGCATTCATTATTCCAATGTGGTCCACCGCAATGACGGCATCCTAGAGGAGGCTTTCTCCCACGATTATTGTTGTTTGACATATCACTATTGCTGCCTAAGGAGGGAGCCTTAGATTTGGTTGCACTCCGATCTCCCCCACTTCTGCTAGGGCCACCATTGCTAGGCTGGCCCCTTTGTATCCCGCTCGGGCAGGCGGTTGAGGCCTATCTTTCCGAGCTTCCACTTGATAGTCCCCTAGGCATTCAATTGCTTGGATCGCCTTGGGTAGAGTATCTACCCTTTGTCTTTGCAGCTCCATACGGGCATAAGGTTTCAGTCCTTCCAGGAAGGTGAAGAGCTTGTCTTGTCTCCCATGTCACGTATGTTTAGCATGAGCACGGAGAATTTCCGCACGTAGTCCCGCACTGATTTGGTCTGGTGGAGCTCCCGTAGCTTTCTCCTTGCATTGTATTCAACATTTTTGGGGAAGAACTGTAGGCGTATGGTTGCTTTCAGTTCTGCCCATGTCTCGAGAAAATATTCTCCGGCCCTGATGGCTTCGTACTTCACCTGCCACTAGAGTTTAGCATCACCCTGAAGATACATGGCAGCAGTTGCTACCTTCTTAGCTTCTTCTAGGCCCCCAATGACATTGAAGTACTGTTCGATGTCAAAGATGAAGTTTTCCACTTCCTTGGCATTACTAGCTCCACTGTATGGCTTTGGCTCAGGAATATTCAGTTTTGTGTCACGGAAGCGAGGTTCACAGCATCTCGATTTGGTTTCCGCCTCCTCGAAGCAGGCCCTGTAAAGCAGCATTACAACATTGAGCTGCCATGTCAAGTTGTCTATAGTTTGTTGCATGGCAGTCACCCTATCTGCCTCGTGTGCCCTGTAGGCTAAATCCTCGGCACGCTCCATTTGGAGGCCCTCGAATTTGCCAAAAATTTTGGCTGCCTCTGTGGCTGTCGTTTGCTGGTCTCCCTCAGAGTCGCGACTGATGTTTTCTATGTCAACTTCGGCCTAGAGCACTCTGCGGTCCAGGTCGTCCAACCTTTGCACTAGGCTGGTTCTTAGTTCAGGCACCGTATCCACGATGAGCCGTAATACGTCAACCATCTCTTCAAGGGCCGCAATGCGGTCCCCATGATTCACCATGGTCAGAAATGGTGGTAATGACAATGTGTTCCCTCGTCCGATGTCGAGCCTAGGCTCTGATACCAACTGTTACGCGGCGCCTTCCTGAGATTCCTTGGAAGGGTGATGTAAGGCTAAGCAGTTGATGTTAGTGCAGTTACTGTCCGCCAACTAAGGTCCCCTCCGTATGCTAAACGAGATTATTAGTGTCGTACGGGAAAACCAATGTCAAGAGCAATTGAGAGAACATAAATGAGAATTGAGAATGAAAGAAAGCTTGATTGCATTAATGAAAGCTATTACAGAAAATCAATACGGTGTCGAGGGGGAGAGACACCAGTATAGAGAATTGTTTGCTTGCTAGAAAGTTTGATTGCTTGATCCCCCTAATAGTGCTTAAAAAAAAAAACCAAAGTGACAAGACTAGACTTGACTAAGCTAGAGAAACATAATGGAATTACGTGAAATAAAACTACTTTATATTTACAATAAAAAGGACTTAGTTTTCTACAAGACAGAAACAGGTCCGTTGTCAGCAACATTGTCTTTGGCATCACGGTCTGCGCGCGCGGCGTTGTCTGCGTGGGCGGCGTTGTTGGCATCTGCCTGCGGCTGGGCGCTGGTGAGGGATATCGGTGGGGCGACAGAGGCACATGTGCGCTTGTCACTTGGCGCAGCCAAGACCACGGGGCCGTCCGTGGCGCTAGGCGCTAGGAGACTTGCTAGGACGCCACAGCACGCGCCCAAGAGGTCATGGGGCATGGCTAGAAAGCTGCCCATGACATTACTCGTACATTTATGCTGATTTTCAGATAATCATTTAAATCACGCAGGATATGTGTCAGAAAGGGGGAAGTGTTTGGTAAGATCACTAACAATGAAGAGGATGAAAGTTGAGAAGAAGAAGGTGATGAAGATGTCGGATATATATAGAATGAATATGTACATTTATATGAAATAGTATAGTGTTTTCAGAATTCTGTTATAATGGCAAGTTAGGATGAGTAAAAAGGAGGAAGTTTATTTTAGTAACGGAGGAAGTAACAAGTTAGGGAGAGAGAAGAAAAGAAGGAAAGAGAAAGAGAAATATTTCTCCTTTTTCACCTAATTTGTTAGAACCTTTGGTTTTGTGTCTTTTTTTTTTTAGTTCTTAAAATTTTCACCCTTTTTATTTAATCTTTGAACATTAAGGATCAAACAATCTTGGCTAATTGAGGGGAATAGACAACTGATAAAACTCTTTTTTCTTTTTTGTTTTTGCTCAAAAATCACTAATTAGTTTGGTTCTTTCTTCCTTTACCTAAAGTAGATTTAGAGTTTTTTTATACTTTCATATCTAAGAAACACACGACTTTTTGAGATGTGAGACGCCTGAAATTGTAATTCTCATACATCATGAAAAACTATTTAGAACTTTTCACTAATCAAGAGACAAATTAACTGAGGGAAGTATGTTCTTTTAAAGAGGTGAAGATGGCCTAATATATATATTCCTTTGACGATAAGAAGTGTTTTAGTTTAAATTAGAGGCCAATTGTATTAGAAGATTGATTACTATAGTATGATGAAGTGGAAAGAAATAACGAAAGAGGAAAAGAGAAAAAAATTGTAAATATGATTATTTGAAGAGTATTGAAGCTATTCAAAAAAAAAAAAGATTGTTTTGTACTAAAATTTATTCAACTTATAAAATTAGTAATAAAATTATAACAGATTTTTTCAAGAATTCACTAATTTATTTTTATTACCACGGGAAGCACGGAAACTTCACTAGTGTTATACAATTGAAAGCCAAGAGACTGAGCAAATTCATTGTTCTCCGATTAACAAATGTATGAAACCCAGTGCATACTTCAAGTATCTGGATATATTGCACCTTTTTTGTTGATCCAGAAGCTTTCACATAAGTGGGAACTGTTGCTTGTTAGCTCCAACTCAATAAAATCAACGGTCTAAAGCCAAATTTTAATAAGTGATCTTTACTTTTTTTATATTAGAACTCATATATGTATACACACATATGCAACAAATTTAGTGTTGTCATTTTATTTATACTTGTTGTTTATAGTATAATATTCTTAAATGACATAAAGCCTTTAACTTCACATAGTAATATTATTATTGTATAAGTAAAGGATAATTTTAAAAAATAAGATATTAGACATGTATTTACAATATATTTTCTTTGATATTGTAAAAATATATATTTACTAATATGAAGATTTAAGTAGTTTAACTCAAAGTTCTAACACATTTTGGATGTTAAAGAGTAGACAATATTTCTTTCTTTCTTTTACAATTTTTTTTAATTTTTTTATTTTTATGCTCACTTTAATATTGTCTAGAGTAAACTAAAATCATAAAATCCACTTGTAAAATTTTTTGGGGCCTCAAAATCTCAAAGGGCCTAAATTAAGGTTTTACTAGCTAGCCATCCCTCCACCACTGACATTTTCATCAGACATTACAGAGTCTTAATTAAGATAAAACAACAATGACAAGAATATTAAAGGCAAATGAATGTGTCATTCAGTTATAAAATGTGAGTGAACCTGGTTGAAGGCTCAATGATTTCAACGAAATTGGTGGCCTAAAACCAAAATGCATGAAAAGACCCTTAAACTCCTTTCATAAAATTCATAAAATAAGGAGAGACAAAAAAACCTACAAACTATGATCTAGCGGTGAGAATACAACGCATGATATGTGGGTTAAACGCACGTCATGGTATTGAACTCCTCTATAAAAAAAATATGATATTTTAATGAAAATGATAAAGGGATAAGCCCATTATTTATCGAGTTTTGAACTTTGCGACACTTGCCTCGAGAATTTCTTAGTTAAAAACAAATGAGACACAAAAGAACTTGCTTTCTGGTAAATGAATCAACCAAATGTGACAAGAAAAAAATAACTAATTTAGAGAATCTAGCTGAATTAGAAAGTAAAATTTTGAAAAAATGATTATATATATGAAGGAAGAAAACAAAATTGATGTGAAGGAAAATATATTGTTTAATTTAATGAGAGAAAATTTATGAATCCTAACTCTGCGAAATTTAAAAGAATCTTAACATTTAAAATCTTTTATTAATTATTATATAAATATAAATTATATACCCCCTCCGTTCACTTTTAGTTGTTCACTTTGGACTTTTCACGCCCCTTAAGAAACAATAAATAAAGTGCACAAGTTATCACAATCCCATATTAATTGATGTATAATCTTAATAGATATAGAAAATGATTTGTAATGAGTAATTAATGCTAAGGGCAAAACAGGAAAAAGAAATTATTTTCTCTTGATATGCGAAAAGTGACAAGTACAAATAAAAATTTATTTTTAAAATACTTGACAACTAAAAGTGATCAGAGGGAATATACTATATAATAATATAGTAGTACATCATATTTTTGGGGCCTTTAATATTTGGAGGCCTAAATGCAAGGTCCGCCCTTGGTTAGCCTACTAGATCAAAATCTTTCAACAGCAGCTCGCCCAAAAACATGCTTACATCAATATCGGCATACAGTTTAACTACATTTGGATCACTTTTCCTATTTATGTTGACGGTGTTTCAGTGTGATGTGGACATATAGCATCTCCACCTATCATGTTGACGGTGTTTCAACGTGATCTGTATCATCTAGCATCTCCACCACTGGAGCAAACTGCAGAAGTAGAACGACTTATTCAGCGTGAAGAACCAAAAGAAAAAAGGAAAAAGAGAAAACATCTGACTTTTACAAACCTCATCATCTTCTTCAAGGTACATTCCATCAACTGCACTGTTCTGCTGGAAGTCCCATCCAAGAGTCTGCTCAAGCAGCTCTCTCAGTTTTCTAGTCTATCATTCAAACAAGAAAAGCACAGCATTTGTCAACTTCAGATAGGCAATTAAAAAGGAAAGCTCATTTACTTGCATTTCAAGTAGTTGTTCAATCAATCTGGAATTGCATGTCTTAAGGAACAGAAGGTGGATTATAGTTGGAGCTTCCCATGAGATAGTACTAAAGTACTTGAGCATCAAGGTGCACAAGAGATTTTTACAGAATACTAAATGCACATGGACAGAATACATAGCTTTGGCATAAATACAACAATCTAAAGGGAAAAGGACAAAAAGAAATACGATTATCCTTCCTGATGATGAAATTGAGCTGTGAAGTTGACATCCTGTTTGTCAATTCTACAAATAATTATAAGGTTCACAACTTTCAATCTAGATCCGCTTAAGAAAATATACTAAATTCATCAGTGAGACCTATGTTGCTAGGATCCTCCAAAAATGCACCCCCCAAACCCCCCCAACCCGGGTGTCAGATCCTCCAAAAATGCATTACTGTTGGAGGATCAAACACAAACCCAGTGGCAATTTTGGAGGATCCGAGCAACATAGCCATAGATATGGTCAAAGTGACCGGACAGATGTAGACTCTCATTCAAGTCGAAAGTAATCTATATAAAAAGCATCGCCTTCACCAAGTTACTTCTCATGCTCTAGATGCCTTTTAAGTGCTCTCAACGGATCTTTATTCATCATAAATAAATCCCTACTTCAACTACAATAATCACAGAAAAAGTATGTTAGCTGTTATTAACAACCTAGGTGACGATTCTTCAGCTAGTTCTCAGATTTGCAAAGGGTAGGGCTAAGGCATCACCCTTTTCATCCTTCCCGTAAAATCCATATATTAGTTTTGCAAAAGACACTAGTAGAAATAAAATGCACCAGTCCATAATAAAGAATGCTTCTGACTCTATTCACAGGCACTTGATCACAAAAACAAATCTAAATTATTTCAAAGAATCAAAAGGGATCAGTCTCTGGAGGCATACCCAAGTCAGCAGGTCTCCATCAACCATGGGGGAATCAAGCACCAATGAGAAGAAATCCTGAAATCAATGGATTAAAGATGGCTCAACCAAACTATCATAATCACGATGTATGTGATCACAAGTAAAACCATCCACAGCCATATTCCTTGGTACTGTAAGTTCTTGACCAGTCAGTGAAACGTTACAAGCAACCAAGGGTGTGCGCTAGAGGTTAATGAAGTGAACTAAAAGCATGAGTGACCCGGGTTCAATCCCAGCAGAGGCATAAAACGCTAGGTGAGGTGAGCAAGCAGGCACAGATATCCCCCATTAAAAAACAACACTTTTAAGATGTGTCAAAGAGTTTTTACTTCTAGGAAGAATGTTACTGTCCAAAGAAACCAGGGATTTGACCTTGAGATGCTTTACCTACACTTTAGTAGCATACACTGATAGGTGAACTGGATTCTTACCTTACAAAGGTGACGCAGGAAGTTATCAGCAGACAACAAAGACTCATCCAACAATGTCATTGCACCCTTCTCCGCCCTGCCAGTATCCTTACTATCCTTTTGAAATCCAACTTTCAACTGATAATATATTGCTTTCATAAACTGATGATAAATATAGATTGCATGAGTCAGTATGTAGGAGTCTAAAAGGATGAAAAACTCAAATTAAACTGAAGGCATCTTTTTCATACTGACACATATGCAATATGGAGCTGCATAGAAAACTAATAGTGTACACCATCAATTCCATTTTCTACGGGATTTAATCAAATATCAGAAAGATAAATTATACACTACCACTATTCCCGATCTTCACCTGACGTACTAGAGAAAGTATAAACAACAACAACAACATACCCAGTATAATCCCACAGGTGGGGTCTGGGGAGGGTAATGTGTACGCAGACGTTACCCCTACCTGGGGAGGTAGAGAGGCTGTTTCCGATAGACCCTCGGCTCAAGAAAAGGTGGAAAGGAAGAAGGGAAGAAGAAAGAGGGGGGAGAAAGACAGATGAGGGAGACAAAAGACGATAAGGAAAAAGAGGAGAAAAAGTAGCATTAGATAGTAACAATCAGGGTACCATAATTTACAAATTAAATGCAAAACGACGTTGTTTGATGCTAAATACAAAGTTTAACACGATACAACCACAGGTCCACTATGTTCATCTGCCCAACTTCACACCAAGAAGTATAGTACCATACCACTGTCCATGTTTATTCTTGTTCATTAACAAGAGCAAGAAAAATCACATAAACCAACCCTCAAGGGTTGGCCTGGTGGCAATTGACTTGAGCCTTGGGGTTTGCTCCCTTTCAAGGTCAGAAGTTCGAAACCCACTGGGTGCAAACAATTTCCGAGGGCCATCGGATTGGGTAAAACCTGAATTAACCGTGGTGCACTTGCGGGAAACTCCTTGCCGAGGGCATGTGCACTCCCGGGATTAGTCGGGGCTCTTAGAGACTCGGACACCCGGTGCAAATCAAAAAAATCACATAAACCCCGCATAGCTTAAAGTGCCTCTACAAACTACAATAAGATCACTCTAACAATAAAGGAATTCCTTATAAAGTGAAATAAGAAAAAACCTCATAGGCATTGCATTTCTCGCTTTGACCATGCATATTAACTTATACGCTTTCTCATTTTTACCTTATGTTGGACAGAGTGGCGGAAATGCAATGATAAAATAGTTGAAACCTTAAACTGAATTATTCCATAGGCCCAGGCTTCTCGACACAGAGCTGGAAGGTACATACCTTTTCTATATGACAGCATGCACAGAATGATATATTCTTTAAAATTTACCTTGGTGAAGAGCTGAGTCCTTGTGTGTAGAGGCTGCAAAGATATAAATGGTTAAACTAGACAAGAATTTGAAAGTAGACCTACGACCACGATGTAGGTTGTTTAAGCAATTCATATAAACTGTGCATGAAGATAAATTATAGTAAAAAACAACTTAGACTTTTATCTGAAAGCATAATTGAGTATCCACATTAATCACGAGAAAGAGAAAGAGGGGTGGAGGTAGGGGTGGGGGGGGGGGGGGGTTGGAGAAGTCAATAGATATTGTTTCTACAGAAACACAACTTTATTTACGCAAATAATAGCTAAAAGATCAAGTTCAGTGGTACATTTTGCCGAGTATAATAAATAGGAATATCAGACGCAAGAAGTTCAGCCACTACTTGCACACTTATAGTATCATAACCTTTATATACCCAGAATATGACTTTGCAGAAGGACCTCCAGTTGAAGAAGATAGTCATTAATAGCTCAGCAAATCAAGATGTTACAAATCACCTATTGATACTAAAAGGGAATTCTCAACATTGGAATCCAAAATCTTTCTGGTCTTGTTTCAGGATATCAAGGGAAGTGTGAAATTTTGGAACTACAGTGTTCTATATTCTATCAAAAAATACACCATAATCTTAAGTTACAATTAAAAAACCAAAAGAGCTCATTGTTAAATTACAGGAATCGAAGTTTACCATGAAACGTAGAAGTCCAAGTAATCTCACATATTTTCTTCCCTGATAGGATCACATGACACCTTCAGCAACTTGAACATTCTCAAATCATGTTTTTGTGGGAGAAGTGGACCTTATCCAAACTTCTCTTGCAGTTGGCGGATCTTAAAAGCGATTAAAACGGCTATATGTTCATTTTCTTCCAAAAGAATTGAAAGGACAACTGAACAATCTTGTAAAACTCAATTGTATTTAGGCCGTATTAGCAGCATGATTCCCACCATACAGAAATTAGGGAATCAACTATACAAGCTTCTATCATAAAATCCCAACAGAAAAGAAAAAGGATAGGATGATCCATCACCTCTAGTCTTTCCTAGTTGTAACAGGCAAATCTTCCCTTATGCAATGGTAGTGATGTTCTTTTTTCCGACATGATAGTGATGTAAAGTTAAGCTTTAAAGCCTCTTATAGGCTCTAGTGTCCCATTTCCTTCCCAGCCTTGGTTTTGGAAATGAGAACAAGATGGTAAACTTGGATTGTATTATTTAGGTCCTTACTGCATCCGGAAATGTAAGTACAGACGAAGATCTCGCTAGCCACATACAAGCAGAGGGATTGACACATACTTACAGCTTCTGTACAGCCAAGTAATAGGCTGACTAAAAGCTTCCACTGCAGAAAAGCTTCAAGTGACTGTCCCATCTGTAAATTGCTCGCGCATTAAACTTCAAGAACTGTCTTCTTAATTAAGTTGGTTTATCACATAAAGAATATAAGAACAACGAAAAGGTGAAACCGCTGGTTGATACCAGAAACGCGACAAAGGCAAATTGTAACTCTCCCAGAAGTGAATCGTCTGAACCACCATGTTGCTTCATCAGAATAGTCTCCAATATTTGTGTCTGCATTGAAGGAAAAAGCTAAAGTTCTTCTCAAAAGCAAAAGGAAAAAACAGAAATACTGTCATTTTACGGGAAATAATCCAGATTTGAGACAAATACCTTGTCAAGATTCATGTTAGTAAGCTCTTGTCCTGAAGCTCCCTTTTGCTTGATAACACGAGGAATTGTGGTGTAATAACAACCTTTACTTGGCAACTTCTCAACAGGCTTCGAGAACTTGCTACTTTTCAACTGTTCAGCCAAGACTTTCTCCATGGCTGTCTTAGGAATATTCTCAACCACCTCAGATTCAGAAATAACTGTGATTTCTCCTCCAATAGGTTCTGCCAAATGATAGAACTGGTGAAGCATATTACAAAGAGAAACAAGACAGAGCAATGACCCCCCACACAAAAACACATACTCAGAGGTAGAAGTAAGAATAGTTCTGTCAGCCTAGCCAAAAATTGCTAAGAGTAACTCACATTTTGATTTCCTCAGGCAGAGATGAAGAACCCCCACAGATTATTATCTATGACATGAAACACACTAGGTGAAGCAGTTCCACTCGGCTGGTCAAAGAATCCAAAGGATCACAATATTGTTGTTTATTTTAATATGAATTCAACTAAGTAGCGGATCTCATATTAGCAAGGATTGGGAAATCGCATCCCACAATTATTGGAATTAATAACGGTATACCATTATCAATGAGATCCCTAGGCGCATAACTAATGGGATTAGGTGTCATCACAAATCAGGCTAAATCATATTGCACAAAAACACAAGGGCTGAGAGGCATTGCTCTCATGCATTCCCCAAGTTAATACCTGTCTATCTAGCTTACGCTCGAAGAGTCTTATTTATCCGGTACATATTCATTTCCATTTTTTTGATGGGATTATTTATCCAATTGATATAAGGCTTATTCATGGGATGAGTGGCACCATCAACAAAGTACAAACTCTCCTTTAACTCATATGTCCATGCATCAACTCTTTTCTATATGTCTGGTCCGGAACGAACCCTCATTCTAAGACTTGATTTTTTCTAAGACTTGATTGTTAGAACAACCCTCAAACTTATCTTTCTGTTTTTCCTACAATCAATCTTGTTCGTTCTTTAACTTGAAACTAACACACATTAGATTCTGCAGCATCCTATGATCAATTATGATGCGATTTGAGATGAGAACAAGAGAACGAAAATTACAAGTTCAAGAAATCGTAAAAACCACCATACAATTATTCAATAAAAAAAGGAAAAATAAGCATATGAGAAAAAAATACCCTTCCAGTAAGCAGAAAAGGCAGCTTGACTTGTAAATTGTAATTAACAAGGTATGGAAGAATCAAATTGGTGTATTATTGATACATATATATACATGTACATCAGGTGCTAACTACAGAAAGAAAATAAAAGAGATTCCTACAAATCTGCTACCTATATATGGCTTATGTACACTACTAAGAAACGGTCTATGTTCATTGTGTAAAGTGTCTAGGTTCATTCTGTAACGCTCCCCCTCAAGTTGGAGCATATATATTGATCATGCCCAGCTTGTTACAAAGGTAATCAACTAGAGTGCCATTCAATGCTTTAGTGCACAAATCAGCTAGCTGCTCTCCTGTCTTCACGTAGCCAGTGGAAATCAAGTTCTCCTGAATCTTCTCACGAATAAAATGACAATCAACTTCAATATGTTTGGTTCTTTCATGATACACTGGATTTGAGGCAATATGGAGTGCAACTTGATTATCACACCAGAGTTTTGATGGAGTAGGATGCTTCAACCCAATTTCAGTTAAAAAGTGATGTATCCACATTATCTCACATGCTGATTGTGCCATAGATCTACACTCGGATTCTACACGGGACCTAGATACAACATTTTCTTTCTTACTTCTCCATGATACCAAGTTTCCACCAACAAATACACAGTAACCAGTAGTAGATCTCCTATCAATCTTGGATCCAGCCCAATCTGCATCTGCAAAACATTCAATGCGAGAATGACCGTGATTGCAGTATAATATGCCAAGTCCAAGAGCTCATTTTAAGTAACATAGGATCTGCTCCAAAGCCTCCCAATGTTTAACTGTGGGCGCGGACATGAACTGGCTAACCATACTCACTGCAAAAGCAATATCTGGACGAGTCACAGTGAGATAGTTTAATCTCCCAACTAACCTCCTATATCTATCTGGATCATTAAATGGATCGTCATCATCTTTCATAAGATGCAAATTAGGAACCATTGGAGTACTACAAGGCTTGGCAGCCAGCTTACCAGTTTCTGCTAGTAAGTCAAGAATATACTTTCTCTGAGATAGAAAAATTCCCTTCTTGCTTCTAGTTATTTCTACTCCCAAGAAGTATTTCAGTTGTCCCAAGTCTTTTGTATGAAACTTAGTATGCAAGAAAGACTTGAGAGAAGAGATTCCTGCATAATCACTCCCTGTGATAACAATGTCATCCACATATACAACAAGGAGAATAGATCCAACTGTTGATTGCTTGTAGAAGACAGAATGATCACATTTGCCCTTTTTCAGCCCAAATTCTTGAAATGCTTCACTAAATTTACCAAACCAAGCTCGGGGACTCTGCTTCAAGCCATATAAGGATTTCTTCAAATGACAGACCTTGCCATACTCCCCCTGAGCAACAAAACCAGGTGGTTGCTCCATATATACCTCTTCATGGAGATCACCATGAAGAAAAGCATTTTTAATTCCAATTGATGCAAAGACCAATTCTTAGAAGCAGCTAGAGAAATGAACAATCGGACAGAAGTAAGTTTGGCACCGGAGAGAAGGTATCTGAATAATCCACCCCATAAGTCAGAGCATAACCCTTAGCCACAAGTCTGGCCTTAAGTCTCGCCACAGAGCCATCAGGATTAACTTTAACCGTGAAGACCCACTTGCATCCCACTGCTTTCTTTCCACTGGGTAAATCCACTAAATCCCAAGTGTGGTTTTTCTCTAAGGCATGTATTTCATCAAGCATTGCTTCAGTCCATCCAGGATAATTCAAAGCCTCCTTCACCGTTTTGGGTATAGAAACAGAGTCTAGAGAAACAATCAAAGATCTAGATATAGGGGACAAGTGGTCGTAGGAAACAAAATTAGCAATATAATATGTGGATTTGCAAGTGCGTATACCTTTGCGAAGAGCAATTGGAAGGTCAAGTTTTTCTGGAGGGTCAAGTGGAGGCAAATCTGATGACGAAGGAACTTGTGCAGAACATGTATCATTCGTCTGTTGCCTCTGCGAGTAAACTTGAACAATTGGCAGTCTTGCTAACACAGTTGGAGCAGGTGTTGAAGTCAGAATAATGGATTGGTGCTCGTATCACGCCCCAAAACCGGGGGCGCGACCGGCGCTCGACCGGGTAGCCCCAGTCAAGCGGACCTGGCTGCCTTTCCTAACCCACGTGTTACCGCGTGATTTCTATACCCATTATTCAAGTGAAATAGCCGTTTATGATTAAACACATTCTTACTTTACGTGGTCTACAAGTTATACTGCCCAAATACAAAATACATAAGTACATAACCCACATTTCCTGTCTACGAAGCCTCTAGGGATACAAAAGAGTTTTACAATACTTGCGGGTAACAAGGCTCCGGCTATACCTTACACAAATACCAAAAATAAGACTCCGGGAAGAAAAGCGGCATGAGCCACGCAGGGCCCCGAGAGGAAAGGGGCTCACCAATACAGCTCACGGAAAGTGGAGGAGGTGCTACTGTCGGTGGACTGGAGTACCTGCTATAGAACTACCTACAATCATAACAAGAATGTAGCGCCCCCGGCAAAGGGACGTCAGTACATTTGAATTGTACTGGTATGTATGAACGAACTTTACCCCAAGTAAAATCAATCAATACACAGATAACAAACAGTAATAGAATCAACAATCAAATGCACATGAAGGAACAACCAAAGCCAACAAGTTTCACAATCTCTCCTTTTTCCCTTTCAACATCATTTCATACTCAAGAGTTTCATACATTTTCATTTCAATAGTGAATATGATCATTTTTCCACCCTTATTACCTCGGTCACCCTTATTACCTCAGCCACCCTTATCACCACAACCCACACCTTATAACTTCGTGTTGCGGTGCGGAACCCGATCCTACCGAACATTCACATTTAACACACAACAATAGTTCACAGTTCAATCACATGGCTTCAGGCCATCCCGAATATCATTTCACAGCAACAATAACAATTTAAGTCACAACAATTCATGAAATAGGCCATCTTGCCCTAACACCCGTGAAGCAAACAAAATTCACAAATAGTCCACATAAGAAACGCGTAACAATTACTCGTACACAAAACAGGGTGACTTTACAAAGGTTAAAGTTAGCCATACATACCTGGAGTCGAATTTCCCTTTTTAACTTCTACTTCCAATTCACCAAACAGCCTAGTACCATCAATCTAGTTCACAAGTTAACACATATATCTTAGAATTGAAGTTCACAAATACAATCCGAACTTATTTAGGTGATCAACCGCTCCTTTTTGCAAATCTTTACTCCTACCCNACAAAATACTTATGCCCAGTTTTGGAAACAACGGGACATGTCCCCAAACATCAAAATGAACTAACTCAAAAGCTGACTCAACTCGTTTATTAACCCTTGGACTTAACGAGATGCGATGGTGTTTTGCAAATCGACATGACTCACAATCCAATGAAGAAATATTATGAAACTGAGGACAAAGCTTCTTCAACAAAGGCAGAGAGGGGTGTCCCAATCGACAATGTGCTTCAAAGGGAGACACAACACTAGAGCATGCAATAGACCGTGGCTCCCATTCATCAAGGATGTAGAGATCACCAGATAAATATCCTTTACCAATAACCTGTTTTGTTGTAAGATCTAGAAACAAACAATGATCGGGAAAGAATGCAACACAACAATTAAGGTCTTTGGTGATTTTACTAACAGAAATCAAGTTAAAGGCCAAGTTTGGTAGACTTAATACTGATGACAGGGTAATAGAGGAAGTTGGTTTAACAGTCCCAGATCCAACACTGCTACAAGTTGATCTATCAGCTACAGTAACTGGAGAGGGTGCTTTATGTGAGCGAAAGCTAGAAAAAATATTTGGATTACCTGTCATGTGATTTGTGGCACCTGAATCGATCACCCATTTATTGGAAGATGTGATAAGACATGTTTTATCTGATCTAGTAAAGGCAGTAACTGAAGAAGATTCCTTATCTGATTTATGATTTTGAAGGAATTTTAGAAACTCATCCGAAACCAAGATTGTTGGACTAGGAGTTGTTGCACTATTATTCTTTACCATCATTTTTTCCTTTGAATAACAAACCTATTAAATTAACAGAGGTCCCCAAAACTAAAAGATACCAAAACAGATCTCTGGTAAACACGAAGTCAACAATCTATTTTACAGAACTCCACTCCAATAATCCACTCAACCAAATCAGAGAACCAAACAAATCTGTCCCCAAATCAAATAAAATCAGAGACCAACAAAGTTTCTGATAAGGGAAGACCAAACAAATAATATCAAGTCTCAAATTGTAACAAATCGTCTTACAAGGAAGACTCAACAAATACCAATTCACAAGACAAGCAATCAGATGCAAGAATATTGTTCCACGACTACTTCAGTATCCCAAAAACAAACCAAACAGTAGAAGAACTCAAACCTGACCAAAATTGGTGTAATACAACCTTATCCGAGTCTGTACTTCACGAAAATAAGGTTATGTTATCAGACGATAACCAACAATCGACCGAAAATACAAGCTGATCTCGGAGAACAAAGCTGGAGAGAGAATGGACCACACACGTACCTCACGTGTCTGCCGGAAAGTTTTGGTCAACTCCGGCGACACAAACTCAACTCCGGCGAAGCCACAGATGTGGCTTTGATACCATGTAATTAACAAGGTATGGAAGAACCAAATTTGTGTATTATTCCATGTAGTGATACATATATATACATGTACATCAGGTGCTAACTAAGGAAAGAAAATAAAAGAGATCCCTACAAATCTGCTACCTATATATGGGTTATGTACACTACTAAGAAACAGTCTATGTTCATTGTGTAAAGTGTCTAGGTTCATTCTGTAACATAAATGAATAATCTTTTTGTTGATTTGAGAAAATTTTGTTTGGAGCATTGATCTACACCAACCAACACCCTCAACTTAACAAAATTGAGAAGCAAAATACCGAGAACATATTAATATGCTGATAACTCAAGGAAGCTGTTAACCTTCATAAAAAACTCAAGGAAGCTGTAAAGCTGACCAGAGTGCAAACAGAAGTATTGAAGCTCCATTTCAGCTTATTGGGTTTATATTCAGCACTAATATGCTGATAACTTTTTTATAATCAACTCAAACCAAGGTTTCAACATCTTTGGATCAGATGCTCCCCTCAGTTCTCATTGTCAAAAACATTAAGAGACAAAGTAAAAGCAGTGTACTCACCAATACTTCCGATGGTATTCTTCGTAATATAGTTAGATAAGTGCTTCCAATCTCCGTACCGATCCAATGCATAAGGGCCAAGTTGTCTGTCAAACTCCAAATTTTTCACCGCTTGAGCATATCTCTCTTCCTTCAATAAACTGGAAATAATCATTTTTTGGCGAGAAACAAGTCTTCTGAAGCAATAAACATCCACACCATAGATATGATAAGAATAATGTTGCATTAAATGAAAACCAGTGCCATGATAGGATTGAGTCACTGAGAACTAACGATTAACCACTACACAGAAACTCATAGTTCAACAGTGCAGTAGACAAGCTGAAGCTCAACAGGCTGAGAGCTCATATGTAGCAAAGACCTGGAGGAATTATGGCCTGACACATCTAAGGACATGTAACTAAAATAGAAGAGCTCAACTTGCACTCGTAGCACCAACTTTTTGCACGTATCAGTCAAACGAGTCAGTAATTAGTCCCTTGGCAGATTAATGAACTGTTCTCTTATTATCAATAGAACATGTCAGAAAAGGATGAGTGTATGAAAGATATAAATTTATATGCAAGTGATATTATATGTTCATCATTGTTCATTTGATTGAGTTGGATGAACTAATGGACAACCTGCTTGCTAAGACTAATAGAAGTAAGAGACCAGCTAACAAATTCCACCCTTTCCAACTCGTCTCCAAGATTTCACACAAGGTAGAATGGGAAAGTATGATTTCTCATTTCTGAAGGTCATTTCTTTAATATAGATAGTAGTGGTCTCTGCATGAATTTATTTGCTTTCATAACCATGGAAACAATTCCAACAACTTCATCTATCAAGGAAAATAACCATGGGACAATTCCACGAATCTAAAATGGTAGTCAAGAAAAGATGCTATTGTGGCAATGGAGATACGGTTGGCCTAATTAGCTAGCAATGTTCTAGGACAGCTTAGAGAAGTAACGAAAATTCTTCGAAGAACTTACCTCTTCTTCGGATAATTTGACAAATCGCACATCCTTTGAATCCCATTTCCTAACAATTACCTGCTAAATTACCACGGGAAGATAGAGATCAAGTTTCCAAACATACTTTGACATAAAAGAAAAGAAGAAACGTATAGTACATCAATGGAAAATGAACAATTATTCAAACATAGAAAGAAAGCAACCAGAAAAAGAAGCAAGAGATTAGCATATAAGGAATCTATGATAATATAACTATATCCGTGCCTATGGTCTGGCAACATAAAACTGTACAAACTCTATCTAGCTATCAACATTGAAAGAGCTCAGAACAACTATGGACATACATGGATCAACATAAAAATGCAGAAGAGGAAAATGAGATGTTTTGTTAACCTCTGAAGGGCTGGCATCAACGAAAAAACCAACTATTGGTGAGAACTCATTCCCTTCTCTGCATTCAGAAGAAGAAAGACAACATTAGTTGTAACTAATCATATTATTTCCTAAGGAGAGAAAGGAACCCAAAAAAAGCAGCAAAGAATAACATTGGATAACAATTAAAAGGTTTGGCAACAGAAATGGATTCTTACAGCAGAAATGAATACCAATAAGTAGTTAAACATGACAACTCTAGAAGCTTTAGTTCCTAAAATTCAAGGAAACAAAAAGCTAACCTGTTGGATGAACTGTAATAGATGAAATGGACGCCAGGAGGAATCATCTTCACGCCTTTGAAATTAGGCCCAGTGGAAAACATCTGGAAATGAAAAAAAAAACTACTCCAAATTAAAACCAAAACAATCAAATGGTCACAAAAAACACCGGCCAAAAATCACTACATACGTGGGTATCAATACCGATGAGGGTGTTTTGAGGAACATCGAGAAGTAGCATAGTAGCACCCTGCTTCACAAACTCTAGCGCTGCTTCAGGTTCCATTTTTTAGCTCTCCAAGCTATTTTGGCAGAAACTCGACTTCTTTCTAGGGCTTCCCGCGAGCCCGAGTTCGAGAAACGTCTTTAAATGTGCCGCCGATGTTTAGCCAATATTGCAGGTTCTGCCCCTCAATTGTAATTAGTTAGGCCATACTGAGATTAACAATTACAATGACTCCCCTTTTATTTTCCAAAGAATTCTAATTAGCCCTATCATCTCATGCTAAGAAAATATTTAAACATATTTTAACTTTAAAATTTCTATTTTATTTTAAATCACAAGTTTCAAAAGTATCAAAAATGTTTATAATTACCTTTTGTAAATGCTTTTCTTAGTGGTGTTACAATAACTAAGAACGATCCTAAACACTTCATGTAAACCACTGTTACATTCGTTTTTCCTTTTTCACACTGTAAATGAGCATTGAAATTATAGAGGAGCAATTTATTAGAATATAAATATACATATATTCATCGATTGAAGTGTTATTTCTTACTTGACAATTTCTCTCAAGAGTTTTTAATTCTGAAAGTAAGTCTAACTGTCATTGTTAAATTGATTGTTACGATTTCAAAAACATACAAAGCTAAGGCACTACTTATTTTTCTTAAATTCTCATTTCTCCAATCTTAAGAGTGGTTTTCAGTCACCATCAATTTCAAAGAAGCACTCTTCTTTCTGTCTTTCTTATAAAGATTTTGTATTTTTTTTTGCTACAAACTTCAATAGTATTGTCTAAGCGGAAATAAATAAAATCTACTAGTATAAATTTGAGTCCTCAATATTTTGGGGCCTAAACAAAAGGCTTTACTAGCCTCCTTCTTGAGCTGCCCTTGCCCTTCGGGCTGTCCTTTCTCCTTGGATTTCTTCCACCTATACTCTTTGGCGGATGGGGATATGAATACCTCAACAACAAGAGAGAAATGAGCCCACTTTTATTTATAGTGTACAAATGAAAGTATTTCGTTCCAATGACAATTCTAATAGCAATAAATAGACGAGACAACACAAACATCTCAGATGTATCTTTTGGCTCTATATTTAACTTCTGGGTTGCGGATGTTATCTTGGCTCTGAATCAACCGAATCTCCAAACTGCTCGACTGGCAGTCATAGCCAGCCTTTTGATAATCTGCTAGTGTCCTCAATAAAAGTGTCTGCGTCAAGCAACCAAAATAGGTTGATTTAAGCAAAAGGGCAAGCAACTGGTATTCATCATAGCACGAAATATTCTTAACACTTTGAGCATGCATTGTGTACAGTGTACCCATATTTTGAGAAAATAGGTTAGGTTGCATAACAAAGTATTTCTATCATTTTGTTCTTCTAAGCACAAGTCAAGGCAAGAAGCTGCTTTAACCAAAAAGTATAACAGCAACCTCTGTACATAAATAATTGTTAAGTTTATCTGACAGAAAGCTCATAGCTGTAATACAATTCCTGGTCTTAATGAAGTGCAATAGCCCTATAAATTTTGCACAGTTTAATGAAGCAAATATCCCAAAATCATGACAGTGCAATCAAACTAGTCCTGAATGTCATCATAATAAGCAATTTAACGGAGTCAATTAGTCTCCACGTTCAAAAAAAATTATGAGTGGGTCTTCACAAACAATAGGGAAGCACAGAAGTACCTGTAAGCTTGAGACAGCAAGCTCTGCCGCTTTGTCGAGGTCATTAGGGTATTTCTGTATGAGATAGAGCAATTAAGATCAGAAACATATTTTGTTGGAAATAAAGCTCAAAACTTGTTTTAAGCTGTTTAAACATTACATTGCTCCATCCAAGCAACAACGCAGTCATTAGATCCCCTGTTCCCTGCAAGCATGCAGTGTATATTGAATGAATATACAAGGGGTCATATGTATAGAGGAACTGTTCGGGTGAATGAGTATCAACATTAGAAAGCAAAAAGAACTTCTGGCATTTCTATACTGCTGTAAATATGCACACACCAGCCAGCTTAATATTCAAATTGAAATTTGAATGATCGCCCTGATACCATTTAATAAACCCATGTACATTTAGTAAACATGAATAATCAGGTGTTGACACAACAAGCACGGTGAGAAGTATGTGATAACTGGATACATAATTGCTGATGCAAGTTCTCTCTCTGTGTATGTATCTGTACGCGATAGATGCATAAGAGCTCCCATCAACCAAAAAAAAGAAGAGGAAGCAATGAAACTCCTAAACAATTAAAGAAGGCTTGGAAAAATTAAAGTTTGCTAAAGCTTCCACCATATCTAGGATTTCTGACAAATTAGGAAGTTGCAACTGTTGAGTTATTTATTTACTTTTAAATTTTCGATGGGTAAATAACTATTGAGTTACTAATTTCCCCATATGGATTTTGCAAGTGCTTCCACAGGATTTATAGATTTTGGGCAACTCTACCCGTTGCTTTGAAGTTATAGATCGGATACTCATATCTTGCACATATTGTCAGTGCCAACTTTGGCAAGCCCGTTTTCGCACCCATGATACAAAGTAAAGATCGCGTGTGAACCCCATGACAGGGTTACACGTGGGAGAGTGCATTGAGTTACTAATTGTATCTCGTGGATAGAGTAATGGCATCCAAAATGTAGGATGCTCAGATTTTATCAATAAGTAACAAGTGTTGTTTCAATTGTTTCTCTGTGCAACTCTCTCTAGCAACAGAAAGTGAGAAGCTCATTGATGACATTACTTGTGAGCTCTGTAGGATTTTTTCTCTATGAGCACCAATAAAGAAAAGGATAATCACGTTAACCTCTATCAACTATTCCAACGAAGCACCGATTTATGTGATTCAACACTTCAAGGAAAAAAGAAACAACATTTTTTCCTTCAAAAGTCAAACTTGTTTAATTATATAGCTTTGAGACACATACCGTGAAATATGCAGGAATTTTCGGTATCACAATCTTAAATTGCTCAGGAGATTGACCCTGTCACATTAGATATTCGTATCAGATACATTTTTAAGCCAAAATAACAATTTCAGTGCATGAGTCATCCCAAAATAACTCTAAAGATAGACATAGAATGACAATGCTCAAATTGCAGTTGACTAACTAGTTTCATAGAAGCAATGGTAGGGACAAAATAACTGCATCACAATCTAAAGACAGTTCACATGCAAAAACCATTTGAAATTTGCAGGACAAGTCTTAAAGAGGAAGAAATGCAGACCAGCGGACAAAACTGAATTTAAAAGTGAAATATTCTTCCTCGGTCCCATTTTAATCTATTACTGGTATTACTAGTAAGGAGAAAAATTGGTGTGAGTGGTTTTTTTTTTTTGAAATAAAAGCTGATTTAAGTGGTTTTAGTAGTTATTGGGGAAACAATGTGGAACCACAAGTCAGCTTTGGTGTTGGAAAATAAAATAGAGGATATTGAGAAAAATAAATGAGGGTCCACAACACTTTTGCTTTTAAAGAAAACTAAAAAAAATTCCTTTCAAGGAAAGTGGATACAATTTTTGGATAGAACATATGAAAGTAGGAACACATTCTTGGAAAGTGCATGAAATGAAGAACATATCTCACAACGTAGGATTTGGCAGACCAAATTCCCCTTAATACCAAATGAGTCGATCATGTCATTTACCTTTTCTTTCTGGTGACTGCCAATAAGGAGAAGATTGCCATCAATGTTTATGCTAGTAATAACAACCTGACATAGAGCATAAAAAGCCTGAATGATATTGCATAAAAGACAAAAAGAGCATAAAGGCCTGAATGATGTAATTTACGTACAAAAATTTGATACTACAGCCATGAAATTTACATATACTATCTTTTAAACAAAAAAAAGGGAATAATTTTTCCTATCTTTTTTCCTTGATATTCCAGTAATTTTCTTGATATACAGAATGTTTTAGCACGAAAATACAGAGGGATAGTCATCAACAAGTGAACTAATGGAGGAGTGAAGCAGAAAATAGAATTATAGAACTATACAATCAATCAAATACTCCTCCTTCCCAAACAAGCTGGAATCGCCTATATGTATCCTCTATATCTATTACACTTTATTCACGCCCATTCATCCCCTGAATAGAACTACACATGCACACATTAGGTTCACTTGAATTAAGATGAACAGCTATGACTAGTGTTCCCAAATAATAAAGGACTACAAACTGTATACAAATAGCTTTAAATAGCTTTATCAAACCTACAGAGCTAATTATTCTTTTTTTTTTTGTCTCTTTTAAACCAATAGCTATTTTTATCTTACTCCAGAATGTTTTTTTCTCGAACTCAATTTCCCTTTCCTTTCATGTTCAAGTTATTACTATGAGAACCATATAAGATTAGAAATAGCTTTTAAATGAGAGAAAACTGAGCAAGAGCTCCAAGTAAATCTGGTAGAGCCACAAGCATGAGCATCAGCCCTTAAGGATCATTAAACTTCTCCCAGGTGAGGCCACCTTCCCCTCCTACCATGTGAGAGCAAAAGAAAAAAGAAGAATTGAGATTAATCATAAAGGAAAGATAACTCAAGAGGAACTGCAAAGTGAACCCATCCTCCACAAAAGGCTAAGTAAAATAGAATACGAAGAAAAGACATAGTGGGTACTTAAAAAGTGATGATTGAATTCTGCAGGAGGCATTTTACCACTCGTGGAAAGACTGAGAAAGAGGTAAGAGGATAGGGAGAGCGGAAGTTATTCTCAATGATCAAAATTAACATGCTTCAGAAAAGAAAAAATCCCAATCGTCACTTGTAAGTTGCTGAGAAGCAAGAGAGAGATTAACCTGAAGAGCCCCTCTAAATTGTCAACCAAGACATATAAAGACTGAAAATCTTCATCCCGATTGAAGTTATTTGCCTACTTGTACTATCTAGTCCCATGGAGTAATCCAAATCCAATAATCCAAGATAAAACAAAAATTACTGGGTTAATTGATTCTCATTTGCAGGGTGCATTAAGTTTGTTAGGGAGACACGGCAAGGAGGAAAACTAATCACAATTAAGGTTGTTAAATATGACTGGATCTAGGAATATTATATTTGCCAGTATAAGTATGTCAAGGTACCTTTGATGGTCCAGCAGCATGCAGAATGTTGCAAGCTTCTTGCCCATCTTTTTCTGAAGTGATACTATCAAAAGAAAAAAAAAAAGCTCTCTAAGGTAAAATTATAGCAAGAAAAGAAATGAAGTGCACAAAATTATGTCTTTCTTTTCTATTTGCAAAGTGAAGTGTCGTCCTTCTCAATTTTCAATAAAATTTCAAAATTTGTAGAACTAATAATGGTCAATTGAAACTAGTAAGAGTCATGATAAATATGAATATATGATATTAGTCAGCAGAGAGGCTCAAACTATATGACAAGATTAATAACTGACAGTGTTATGCTTCTATTTTTTATTTTTTCTAAGTAGAAGCATAACACTATCATTTATTTTGTTATGCTTCTATGTTATATATCATTTTTTATAAGGTAAGCTTCTATAAATCATGCGCATCACAACAAAAGAATAGATCACATAAAGCTTCAAGTTTAAGGATTGAAAATTTAAACAGAACTTCAGAACACCTCAGGCATCCCATAAAAGATAGAGTTGGTGTAATGCTTAAGAGGATAACCATCAAACCTCGACAAGATAGATATTTCAACAAAAGAGGAACCCTTCACATTTTAGTATTTTACATACCTCCTATAACAGATTGTTTGGCTAAGCTTCTAAAATTAGCTTATTTTGAAAAGCATTTTTCCCGAAAGTGCTTTTCGAAAAGTACTTTTGTTGAGAAGAGGTTTGTGTATAACTAATTAATTGGAAAAGCACTTTTGAGCAGCAATTAGTGTTTGGCCAAGCTTTTAAAAAGTGCTTCTAAGTGTATTTCTTCAAACGTGCTTTTGGGAAGAAGCTACTTTTTTTTGCTTCTCAAAAGTTGCTTCTGCTTCTACTAAAAAGCACTTTTTTCCTTCCAAAAGCTTGGCCAAATACCTTAACTTGGGGACAAAACGCACTTTTGGCCCAAAAAAAAAAAAGAACACTTTTGGCCAAACAGGCTAACTCTATAACTAACTCTTCTTCACATGCCCCCCTACCCCCCCCCCCCCCAACAAAAACCCCACCCCAAAAAAAAAAAAAAGAAATGTCATAACACTTGAGTCAAGTCTACCATCGTAACGACTACATGAAAGTAACTATCTCTTCATTATATCAGGTGAAATCCCCTGGAAATGCTTTTTTCCTCTATGGATCATACTCTAGAAATGTTACCTGGACCCAGTCAACTGCTCTGCTTCAAACTGGTTAGGTGTCAACATTGAAGCAACGGGGACAACCTACATAATGAAACACATCAAGAGAGTGAAAAACTTAAACAACTACATTAAATACTCACAAACAAAGTACTCAATCACCAATTCATAATCTGAAGCCACCGTCACGCTCCAATCTAAATGCATGTATGTAAACGGATCCAACTCCGCATGTCTAATCAAAAAAAAAATTAAAAAAAAAAGAAGAGATTTTTTAACATCCATAACGAGGGATTATAGCGGCCAGCTGGTTTCTTACTGAACTTCCACCTTGTTGGTGGGGGTTCGATTCCTCACCTTGTAATCCTTCCCCTCCCCTCTATGTATAATAAAAATTTAGAAAAAATCCGTAACTCTTGCCATCACCATTCACCAATCACAATGCAAGCAGGTAAATTCTATAACGATATGGATGACATGACTTGCAAAAAATCTATGAACACAAAATAGTGCCCAAAAAAAAAACACTGTGCCTATGAAAGGAAGAGATTGATAAAATGTTATGGGCAATATAAATCACAAGACAGTTCAGTGCAAAAACATATATTAAATAAAAAAAACTCAGTGCCTTTGCATGCTGAAGTTATCACAACAACTAGCTAGGAGAACACTAATTAGTAAAATGTTTAGGTCCTCATCCATTTCTAACCCTGATTAAATTAGCACAATGCTTATGAATGTTTCTAAATGCAAGTGATGCTTAGTTCGTGGTGAATTGTTAAAGGAGATTAATAAGAAAATACCTTCTCACGATATACTGCCACCAGTTCCGGAGGGACATATAGCTTACCTTCATCACCCATCACAGGATCACAAACTGACAAACACAACATAATTACACAAAGAACCAAGAGAGAGAAAACATAAGAGATATTTATACATCTACAGTTCTACATACACCAGAAAGAGATGCAATTTGGTACAACAGCCTATTATTAGCTATCTAAGACAACATTGGACAACCTCACCAGCAATTACTGCATTGAAATTCACCTTCTCCAAAATTAAGGAAACACTTGACTACATGAAGAGTACTGTAAATTCAGTAAGTTTGAGAGATTATATCTTCTCAAATGCCGCAGAATAAAATGTTCTTGGGGATATACTCACCATATGTAAGTTTGGGGTTGACAGACCGAAGCTTATCGACGACTTTCAGTACTGTGTTCAAGAAGGAGACTGAACCAATATAACCTACAAGTGCTAGTCAATATTAGCATCGGAGGCCAACAAAGCATTCCAGACAAAGAGGAGAACATTAAAAGGGACGGAAATGAGAAAAAGAAAAGAAAATTTCTGTCAATAGAAAAGGACCAAATTAAAAAGCACTCTGAATTCTTATAATTGCAAACACATGCAGCACAAAACACAAGACAGATGACTGGATTGGCACAAGACATAACACGCAATTAATCTGATGCAAGCCTTTCTCTTTATTTTTTTCATTTTTATTTTTTTTGAGAAATAATCTTATGCAAGTTAACGGAAACTCTTTCGTAGTTTCATTTCATTTGCACTAGGAGCTATAGCATGAAGGACAGAATACAGGTTTAACTGGTAAATATGAAGCCTATTGACATTCTTTATCAAAATAAAAAAGGGACTGTTGACATTGTAAGTTCTCTATTAGCCTTCTACCTAGCACTGTGAACAACTACCACTCTGCTATCACAGCTTTCAAACATAAGCATGACTATACATCAAGAAGAACATTATGCAACAGGATTATTGACTCATTGAAACTAAATAAACTAAAAATACCTGTCAGTAAATGAGTATAATATAATAGATCATTGGCCTCAAGACCTTCTACTAACTCCCACAGTTGTTCTCCATTTAAAACCTGGCCCTTAAAGGTTGGATATCCTGCAGAGTTCTCAAGCTGATTAACCACAACATAGTCCAGTTAACATAATTTTACAGGTTAACAGATGACCTCGCACCGTATTTCAGGCCTCAGATTCTTTGAATGAAGTGATATAAGCAGCTTGCCTGTGTGATTTGAGAACTGAACAGAATTGATTGGGTCCACATCATAGCCCAACAGTTGGAGAGGGAACACTGCTGACTTGTTGCCCACATATCCCTAAATAAGAAGCAAAATTTGAAAAAGAACCTCTGCATCAATTATTATTATACACAATAAATTGGGAAGAACACCAAAAGAGTATCAATAATCCCACATCAGAGTCAATAGTTAACAGATGAAGGTTTCTATTCTTTTTTTGATAAGGTAAATTGTATTAATCAAAAGGGAGAAAACTCCCGTATACAAGAAGTATACCAAAAAGTAGAGAATTTACATCAAAACATGATTCTCTACAAAAGACACCCAAACATTTATACAAGTAGGGGCTACATGAGTGCACCAAAAAGCGATCAAAAGATAAAAGACTATTCTTAAGATGTGGATAAGGAGACTCAATCCCCTCAAAAGCTCTCCTATTTCTCTCCCCCCAAAACTATCCAAAGAGCTAGCGGTGCGAACTTCCACGCCTTTTGCTTTCTTCTTCTACGGAAACCGGCCCAGCTATATAACATTTCCTTTACGGTGCTTGGCATCACCCATTGAACACCAAAAAGATTCAGGATTGCCCTCCACAAACCCGAGGACACAATGAAGGTTTCTATTCTCCTGTGCGCATAATTTTCAATTTTATCAAATCAATCACCATGCAGGTGGTTAACGATCTTGCAAGATGTGCAACTAAATGTCTGTCAAAGTCAGACTTCTAGGATGACCAAATGACTCCTAAAGAGATAAAGCGTTAAACAAGCTGACATCTGAACAAGAAGAAAATCAAGCACGTTCTGCAAATTGCTTATCCAGTTCTTGAGAAATAACTAAACATTCAAAAGAAACACCAACATGTTACTCATCAGTCATCACTAAAAAAATGAAATGGAAAGAGTTTCCATCTCTTTCCATTTCAAATGATCTTTTTAGATGGCCACACTTCACTGTGGAAGAGATATGGGTGTACCATTTCAGAATTTAAGTAAAGTTGTGCTACACAACCAATTGTATTCAGATTCTGGCAGTTCACAGAAAATGAATACCTGGTGAAAATGAAAAGAAACAAAATAAAAAAAGAAAAAACTATCAGCTTAGGTGCATTTCAATTAAAGGAGTCTCAATTAAACACCTAATAAACTAAAATCCTATACAGAGAAAAATTTAGGTGGAAGTTATGAAAAAAGAGATTTGGGTTAATTAGAATAACTTGTCAAACCTAATAGTGGATAACATACAATGTAACTTTAAATTAGTTCAAAAAGCAGGGACCAAACAAAATTAAGTGATCATCTCAACTAGAGGTTATCAGGATGCACAAATATCAGCTTCGTGCAATGCAAAATGATACTTGTGCAGGAAAAGCTTCACTGGTCAGAACCATTTCAGGGAATTAAAAATCCAGTTACTGAACAAGCAAGTAATTATATAAACAACGTGGAAGCTTGTACACTATTTCACCAATATAAAGAGCTGATATCTGGCATTGATCTACAAAGCATTTACCTCATTGTTGAGAATTGAATTAGTGTTGAGCAATACTCTAGTTGGGATTGAGGGGCACTTAAGTCATGAAAAAACATGAGTACCTGAACAGTATGAGACTGAATGCTGAGGACACGACCGGTATCCGAGGGCAGTGCTAACGCGAGGATCGGTGGTGGGGCCATCTGCAATTGCTTTGAGCACCTGGGTCTGCAAAATTTACTTCAATTACTCTCCCCAAAAATCACGCACACTAGTAGATAAAGATACCCAGTTTCTTGAGGATAACAACTTCACCTGAAATTTGAGAAGCTTCGGATTGTGTTGAATCCAATGCGGGCAATGAGCGGAGAAACAAACATATATAAAGGACTAAACTTTGAAATTCAATATTGTTCGCATTAATTAATATTTCAGTCTAAAGCACCTTGCAATTGATAAATTAGTAGAAGTTTTGGATTAAATTATTGAGACTTGGAGATTTGGTGTTAGGTCAATCTTCGTGGCGTTTGACTGTCCCGGTTAGGTGCATGTGAATCTGATTTGGTGCTATCAGTGATGACTAACGAATCAAAAATTTGACCCGAGATGTTTTAGGGTTCCGTCCCCATTTTGGTACATATTCCTCTCACTTTGGGTTGCTTAGCGATAGTCTTTTGATTATTATCCTAATAATATTAAGAAATAATTATTTAATTGTTTTTTTAATATTTAAGATTAATTATTTAATTATTATTTTAATAATTAGGACTTTAAATTTAATTCAAATTTTATACATTAAATCTTTCCTTATTCAAACTATATATCTATATTTAAGAATTTAGAATTAAGAAAAAAATTAGTTATATAAATTCTTTCCATTTAAAATTTATTACTTTTAACACCAAATATTTAAACAATAATTCTAAGCTAAATAATAAAACACGACTTGATTTATGTCATCTATTACCAAATATTAGAAAATTTGACCATTTTGCCTAAATGTCGTATCAATTTATAATATAAGGATTAAAATATCATTTTAAATAATTTATCTAATGACAAAAAAAAGAAAGATGGACAATACTTTACAACGGGAAGGAGCAATTTTTCTTAATATAAAATTTTTTTAATTATATTTTGATTAAATTAAGTAACATAATATCTTCTTTGTTGCAAACAGACAATATATTATTCTTAATTTCTTAATGATTATTCAAAGAATCAAAGTATTATCATAGTTGAAACTCAGTGTATGGCGATATCCTTTTCACTTATTTTCTTACTTCTTTTTTTCCCAATTAGATCCACTAGGCATAGTGCCTAGGGTTGATTTTCATATATATAATAAAGGGTACAACAAAGGAGGGGGACATAGACCTTACCTCCCAAATAAAGTGGTGGAATATCTGGTCATCAAAATCTGGTGACTAGATGAATCCTGGAAACTATGTGCAGTAAGACCTAAGATGATGTCCCAATTGTCTATCCAACATTGATAGCCAATTGGGTATACAAAAACAAAGTGGAGTAGGCCTAGGTCAACTATACAAGCATGCACAACTAATCCTAATTCTACTGAGTAGATGAGTGGGAAAGTTTCCTTCCATATACAAAAATAACCACGGCTACAGCAATTACAAAAGCTGTAGAAATTCCCTAGAAAATATGACAAAAACCAAGTGAATATGAGGGGATTTATCTTCAACATAGCTTTGACATTGAAGTCAAAGAAAGCCAGGTTGAAGATAAACATCAAAGAAACCATTGCATATTGGCTTTGAAGTTGTTGCTGAGTTATGTATGTGACAAGAGAGAGTGAGCATTTTCCTGCTTCAGCAGTCCTCAGTTTGTGGCCAGAGTGTTGTCTTTGCTGCAGGAGACTGACGAAGAAGCAAGACATAGAAACTAGGTCTGGGCTCCTATGTGTGTCATGTTGAAAACTTGGACTGGTGGTAATAGACTGTAGAAGAAACTGCTGCAGAATTGCTAGAAGGTTGGAAGCTGACTGTTCTTGTGGTGACATTTGTGTTGACACCTCTTGATAGTGCTGGAGTTGTGTAAAGAAGGGGCAATATTCATGCCCTGTAGGTCTCTTGGGAAAATTGTCCATAGGGTATTGCTTCTATTTATTAAGTATTAGCTTGTTTGTGTGTGTAGTAACCTGTTGAGGGACTAGAGTGAATTGATGCCATTCCAGCAGAATGAGCATCAGATGTGCTAATACCACACACTGGAAGTGTGTCAATTGACTAAGCCATCTTAATGATTCTGTAAAACTGAACAAACATGTTAGCCAAATTGAAGCTTTAAAGCTCATGTTTCATAAGATCACATTCTGCTTCCAGGTTCTTGTGGGAACTGGGAACATAGGATGAATGTGAGGTGGGGTTGAGCAGTATTGGGCCATAAAAAATTGCTCGTGTGGTTTCTTGGCAGAACTGAGTGCAGGGGTTGTTGGTAGTAGGTATTGGGTTACTTTGCCATGATTGCTTGCTTTCTTTTTGTTGTGGGGTTTCTGGATGATTGCCTTCAGGTTCTTTTGTGAACTGAAGCCAATTAGAGGATTGAATGAGTATGTGTATGAGTGGTTCATTGAAGTTTGTGTGGGGTGAATGTGTTGTATTTGGTTCAGAGGAAAGGGGTTTAGGTTAGAGGTCAGTGGTGATTTCTAGAGGTCTTCTTTTAGAGCAGTTACAGTAATGAAAGAAGGATAATTAGTGATTGGGTTGTTGCTGACATGGTGCCATTGGTGGTGGTTTTGTAGGTGTTGAATTGTTGATGACCTACAATTGAGAAGCCAGAATTCCTTATTTCTCCCTGGATAGTGTTGTATTCCTAGCTTTCTCAAGTGTTCCAATTGGCTTATTTGTCATTGGTGTCTCCTCACTAGATTGAGCATTGCTTCTAATACCCCACACTGGGGATACATCAAATGGTTGAGCCATGAAAAGATCAGATTTCCTGCAAAAAAAGGGAAAACAGTGTTAGAGAAGAGATTGGTCAGGTTTTTGGTTTTGGTTTTGCTGGGATGTGATGAGTGGTGATGATCTTGGTGCTTGGTGGGATTGTTGTGTAGGTAGTGAATGAGAGAAGGAGATTTGCAGTGTTTTGTGTTTGGTCTTGTGTTGTAGGCTTGTGATTGTGTGTGTTCCCTAATGTGGTTTGGCGAGGAGATCTGCATTGTGTAAAATGCAAAAGGCAGAGTCTTTGTGTGTTTTTGGACTGGTGGTAGTGTGTGGGGTGTGAGATTAGGGATGGGGAGTTGTTTGTGTGATGTGGGGAAAGAATTGGAATAGAGGGGTGATCTATGTTTAAGCATGAGGTATGATGGGGCAGTTATGGTGATGATTGCATTTGGTTGGATAGTTAGGACAACTTCTCTAGATGTGTATGTGTCGACCATGATCATGAGTGGAAGTTGAAGCCTGCTGAGATGGGGTTTGGAGATTCTTGGTTTGTTTGTGTCTGAAAGAAGGTGTGGCAATTCTGTCTAAGTGAATTTGACCTCTTTTGTGTTCAGATAATTCATTTAAGCAGTGGTAGTGTGTTATGGTGGGAAGGTTGTGACTGATTTTGCACAGTGAATATGTAGGGAAATTTGCCTCTTCGTAAACATGGGAACATTTGAACTTTTCACACAGCCTGCACAGTTCTTTGAGGTTTTGCACTTTAATGTCTATATTCCAAGGAGGAGCTGAGGTGTGGTTGAGCTAGTGAATAAGCAGTACAGAATCAGCTTCTAGGTGAATTTTGGTGATGCCATTGGCCAGACACCACTGCATACCCAAGGTTGCTGCTTGAGTTTCTGCAAGATTGTTGGATCCTTCACCAAGAGGACTGGCTATAACATGTATTAAATGGTCTTTTAAGTCTATGATGATGACACCGGCACCAATTTTACCAGGGTTGTTTAAGGCACTACCATCACTGTTGACTTTAACAAAACCAGTTCCAGGGTTCCGCCATGCCACTGAGGTAATGCTAGTGTGGTACTGCAGGTTCTCAACCACTGAGAGGAGGTTAGACCAATCAAAAGGCCATGAAATGTCAGGGTAGTAGGCTTTGAGGAGTTGGTTGATGTCAGAATTGATGGAGAAAAGAACCATCGTCAATGATGATATTTTAGAGTCATATTTAGCATTGCATATATTCTTCCAAAGATTCAAACAAACAGTGATGGGAGTGGAATCTATGAGTAACTTGTAAATTTCATTTTTACTCTTATGAAGCCACCATTTTACAAGCAGAGGTTGTAGAGGCATAACAGTGAAAGGAAATCCAAAGGGTCCTGAGATGATTTTCCAGATAGCCTTAGCAAAGTGCCCCTACTGGGATTTCCTCTTGTTTCTAGTACGAATCCATGGGTTTTCGACCGATTCTCTTCATCTCTACTATTTTCTGAAAACCCTAGTTTTACTACTATTCGAACCTTCTCAAATCTTTTTAGGTCTGCAGTTATTCGAGTATCATTGGGTGTTTTCCTTTAAAAATCTCTTGGTTTAATTAATTGTTACGACTTTGTTTACTCTTTCTGAAATTAGGGTTCGTCCCAGGTTTTCTTCAAAAGGTTTTCTTTACTTTCAAATGTTAAACTAATGGTTTCTCTACATATTTGATTAATTTTCGTGTATATGTTTAAACCCTAGATGCTCCTGTTCGCGACACTTATTTCTTCAATTTTTTGTTATTGTGTTTGTTTCTGTGAACCAGTTGTATCGATTGGTTCTATTTTAGTTTTGAATAATTTTTCTGTTAAAACCAGTATTCTTTGGATTTCTTTTTACTTAGTTGATTCCTATTAAGGGTTTGAACCAATTCTTCCCGTTATCAGTACTTCTCCGTGATTTACCTATTTTTCTTATTTGTGACTTTAGTTAGTACTGCTTGCCTTAATTAGACTATTAGTTTGATTTAGGGATTTAATTGACTCCTATATGGTATATGATTGATTTGTTTACCTTATTTGAATCCCAATCTGAATCGTTAAGGGATTCCCCCCAATTTAAGGGGGTCCTTTCCGGCTTCTTCTGTGGAAATTGATCGAGTTAAGTCACCAATTAATTGATTGATTGATTTTGATTATCCTGTTTTATGAACTCTGATTTATTCTTTACCTTATTTTTCCTACCTTACTTAGTGCTATATAAACTATCATTCTGACTTCTTTAGACACGAACGAACAATAGTTCAAAACACACATACACAAAAGTTTTCTCTCATCTCTCTCTCTGCTACTTGTGTTCATTGCTTGTCTAGCCGGCTGAAAGCCAGGGCTATGCTGTTAAATCCTGCCTACTTTACCTTCTGTTTCTTCTCCCTTAACTGGTAAGCTCTCACTATTGTCATTCAATTAAACCTATATATTTTCTTAAAATCAGCATGCCTTTCTTCTAAACTTGTATGTTTTCCATATTCAGTATGTCTACTGCTATTTAATTCAAATATGTGCCGTGTTATCAGCATGCTTGCTTATCTCATTAGATCTTATGCCTCATGATTATTAGCATGTTCACTAGAATCTATGCTTACTGCTGTTCAATTTGACTTGTGTGTTTCCTTATAATTAGCATTGCCTTTCTTTTGCTTAAGCAAACCTATGTGTTCACTACAATAAGCATGTTTACTTCTGTTCAACCTATATGTTATT